CACTAGGCCGCAATACAAAAAATAACGCTGCCATGTCACAGTTTTATAGCCATTATCGTGATACTACTGCACTTTACGCTGTGGACCAAAGTAGCTATTCAACATTTTCAGGTGAGATTATGGCAGCACATCATTGTTTCTCTCAGCTCTGGCACCACAAACAATGCACATCTTTGTTACCTAGTACATCTTTGTTACCTAACAAAGCCTATCTTTGTTACAAATCCTTTCCTCTCTGTTTCTTTCACCTCCATCCCTAATTCACCTCATCACTTTATGTCTATCTTCATCATCATCTTCAGCAGGGTTTTTTTCATAGCACACTCAGTCACACTCACAAACAGGTATGCACATATGCATATACTGTTTGGACAGAAATTTCACCTCACACATACATACTGCAGCTTTTAGTCATGCTAATCCATGTGAATTGTTTTTAATAAGACAGTGAATAGAGACACAGCAGTGAGCCCAGTGGAATAGTGTGCTTAGCTGCAACAAAAAGACACACATATACACATATAGTATGTATGCAAGAAAGTAAGACACAAAAAACATGCCTACACAGATATATGTATCTCTGCTGTACAAAAAAGACAAACACATGGGTACACACATGCATGAGGAAAACAACAAAGAAAGACTGGCAGCAGCAGAGGATATATAGATGTGTGACCCCGGGACAAGAAAATGGGTTGTATTCCTCAGTGAATACGGAAAACGATGGAGACCAGGGATTTTCATGATCCATTCACGCATCCTGAATACTAGAATAGAGAGAAACTAGCCAAGGTCAGAGGCAGAATTCCCTATTCTAATGCGGAGCGTTGCTCACCACCCGCAGCAAGAGTCCGGGATTAATTTAGAGATCCATTCACTATGCCTGTGCAGAGGGGGGGAGAGATGGCAAAACATGACAGAGAAGAGGCGTAGAGGAAGAGAGAGAGAGTCTGAGGTGATGAGGAGACAATGGGGAGAGTGACAAAGAGGAAAAACAGAGAAATGGAGAGAGACAGAGTGAAAGTAAAAGACTTAGAGCAAGTGGGCAAGAAAGAGAGACAGGTCAAAAAACGAGAGAAGTGGTTACGCTTGTTATGTGTAGCCTGCGGATACAGAGCAGACGGTTCACACTGAAGAGCTTCATTTTCTAAATACTCCTCCTCTTATGGCCCAATGCCTGCATGAGTACGACTGTCTGTGTGTGTGTGAGTGTGCTTGCCTGGTATTACTCACACTGTGGGGACTGAAACCAGTTTACATACTCACATTGTGAGGACTTGGCCGTAGCAAAGTTAATCTTGATAAAAGATATTGGACAACTACGGTATAAAGCTGGGGTGGCAGTGGTAAGTGCTGTCGCCTCACAGCAAGAAGGTCACAGGTTTGAGCCCCGGCTGACCCAGGGCCTTTCTGTGCGGAGTTTGCATGAGGTCCCTGTGGGTTTTCTCCAGGTGGTCCAGGCTTCCTCTGACAGTCCAAAGACATGCAGCTTAGGTTGATCTAAATTGCCTGTAGGACTGAGTGTGAGTGTGTGTGGTTGTTTGTCTACAAGTGAATCCCGTGATAGATGTGACCTGTCCAGGGTGGACCCCGCCTCTCACCCAGTGTCAGCTGGGATTGGCTCCAGCCCCTCCATGACCGTCTACAGGATAAGCAGTATAGCTAATGGATGGATGGACAGTATGGAGCTCTAAGGCACTGAGGAATAAACTATATCAAGCTTTAACTACACAAACATTTCTTTTTACAGATTCTCCAATTTTAACCTGACAAATCTGATGTCTATGGGACTTTTAGGTTATCCACTAAGATTTAAAGAATAAGGCTGGACATTTTCTATATTAACAGTATTTGCAACACTCCCCATACAGAGACTAAAACTGACAAATAACTGCCTCTAATCACTGTTAATGTTCACCAGTCCTTGATCAGTTTCTTCTCCTGTGCCATCGACCTCCAATGTTGCTCAAAAACTATTAAAAACACATCAGCGAAACATACTGCTGCACTGGGTGACATTAGCAGACCCCAGACTGTAGCATGAGGAGATAGCAGAATGTAAACAAAGTAGAGAGCTCGCACAAGATCTTGCGCACATGCAGTTGTGCCAACTTCAGGAGATTATGGCCGCTCAGAGCATTTGGGGCAACATAGTCGGGTCTGGGGTTTTGTTTCCCTGATGGGCTTTTAATTGTGATTGAACAACAACAGAGATCTATCACAGACAGTCCAGCTGATCAACAACTGACAGCTGATAGACATTAACCATGGGTAGAGGCAATAATTCAGTGTCAGTTTTAGTGTCTGTATTGGGAGTGTTGAAAATACTATTCATATAAAAAATGACCAGCCTTACCCTTTAAAATAGAATTCTATGGGTTTTAATATTATTTGGCTACAAAGCATGAAACTTTTATTAGTCAACCATTGGAAGGTCACTGGGGTTTACACTAAGTGGATATATACAGTAGTAGAAACAGGACAGAGACCAAAGAGAAAGTGAGGGTTCTCATGCCTGCTGGAACATAGCTCAGTCAGTAAGGCTTCAGTGGCTGTGCTGAGATTGTAAAACACCTCCCCAGCTGTTTGGGTACATTCATAACTGAATGTGTCCAACATTTTACCCTCAGCACTCCCTTTAATTCACTGCAAAAATTCATTCTCCTCCCTTTACATTAGATTCTGCACCTTGACACTCATACATTTTGACAGTGAATGGAATTAGATGTAGCATGTGTAGCATGTGATGATATCAGAGTGGGAGGAGGTAAATGGACTATTAATTTCCAAATTATTGCATGTTGCCTATTCATTCAAGTAGGGCACCAACACAGTGAGTGGAAGACAAACAAACCTGGAAAATTGCATTACACAGTTTTGATTAATTGATTCTATGTGACTTGCATTTGGTTGCAGTTAAATCCTATAACAGTACCTTGTAGGAACATAAAATATTTAAATTTATTTTACTTATGCATAAAACAGCATAAATCAATTGGCAGATAATATTCAGGACTTTTCAGACTTCAAAGCTTTTCAAAAACTCTTTCTCTGGCATTTTAAATAACCTTGTCTGACAATGGAGCAGATTGTGTCGGCTGTCATTTACAACCTGGAGATATTATAAGAACCTTGTTAAACACACTGATATAATACCAGGAGGAGAAGTGCTGTATTGTTGTATAATACCGTATTGATTTTGTTCGCCCTGCATAGTTAACAGCCTCAGTGGTCAATCTGTTAAAGTTTAATGAGATAAGGAAGTAAAATATTGCAGTACAATTGCTTGAAAATGTCCTTAAAATAAGATATATGCACTGTAGGACTGTGTTAATGCAGGGGTGTGATACTCTTACAGTTAGAACAAACAGACATCTGCACCATATAGAGATGAAAAACACTTAACATCTTAGCATTTTGCAGCAAAGGAAATAGATTTTCCTATTTTCATGCTATTCTCTTTAATCAACCTAACTGGCAAACACTGCTCTGCTGCACTGCTCTAAAGTTTTATCAAAGTGAAAATAAATAAACCTGGTTAAATGCTAAATTAAACTTACTGAAAGAGACAACTGAACCGTTGTCTCCCCTTATGCACTGACATTGTAACACACAGTTCTCTCCCCAGGAGGCAGATGAGCAAGAGAATTAGTAGAGATTGTTCCCATCTGAAACATAAACACACAGGAGCAAACACAAACACACATAGAGACACACCTGACTGCATTTAGATTAGCATGGCATTCACCAGTGTCACCCAAGCAGAGGTCAGAAAGCAAATAACCAGCCTTAAAAACAGGCACAAGAAATCCAATGTAAGCAACAAGCTAGAGGAAGCAAATCCACCAGGCATCCCAGTATAGTCAGAGGACATCTCACTGCACTGTGGGATAAAACAATAGCAATGTTTTTTTTGTGTGATGGTGTAAAAAAGGAGGGAGAGAACAAACATCAAACAAGCACAAATCCAGCTCAAGGTGATGTGGGTGACAAAAAATGATCCAACATAAGATGTGTGATCATTGGTATTCTTTCTTCTTATTCAAAGCAGAAAAAATGTTCATTGTAAAATATGCTGAAGACATGCCCAAACAAGTACAAGTACTCTACTGGCTAAATGAGCCAGAACCAGAGAATCTCTCTTATGAGTCTCCTTTTTGAGACACTGTGAACAATAATGTGTATGACATGACATGAATATTCTTGTTTATAAGAAAGGTAAAAGAAACTAATTTAATGTAAATAGCATATAGCATGATAACACTTTTAATGCTGAAAATACACAGACACCTGTAGCATGCCGAGCACCTCTGGACTGTTGTGACTACCAGTTGCCCATAGCTGAGGATTAGATCTGAACTCCCAGAGAACTGACAGGGATGGTGAAAGATTAGCTGTCATCATTCAAATGATCAGAGGGGACACAAGTACCACCAGCTCCTCTGCTCTGAACACAAAGGACCTATTGTCAACTGCCTGCAACAGCCTGAGACTAATTTTATAGTTGTAACAAGCTGAAATATTTCATTTTGGGAATATGACCTTGTTTTGCTGATGGGATTGGATAGTGCTGCTGTGGACAACACTGAAAGAGCCAAAGTACGAATAAAAACTAGCATTTTAACCACTGAGGGCGCCTCAAAGTGCCTGGCAGTAAGACTGTTTGTCTTAGGGCCTCAAAAAATGTACGTCAGTGTCTAAAATCAACATTTCAAAATGGCAAATATTGAAGAAAAGCCAGTTTTCAAACAAGGTTCACCATAAAACACCGCTGTACTGTGCGTGACAAAGATAATGAATTTGCAGTCTGATCCTTTAAACAACTCGAGCTCCTAATTAAACCATTCTTTATCCAGCAGCATGGTGAGGAGAGGATAGACAGAGGAAAACAAACATGGAGAGTGCACGGCAGAGAGAAACCAAGAGACAGAAAATACTGCCATATGTTTCTTTTAGCCTACTTTACAGACACATCCACAAAAACACATTTCAACACTTACATGCGTTGGTGACGGCAAAACTGTTGGCGGTCTCTATGTTGTCAACGTGTGGGACCAGGTTAAAGGGAGCTTCCGTAGCATTAGGGCTGGTGTTGTGAAGGAAGATAGCTAGTCGAAACGCTGTATACTCCTGATCAGTATTCCTAATGAACAACCCACCTAGAGAGAGGGACAAAGAGAGAGGGAAAGGCGAAGAAAGATATGATGGAGAGGAAAGGAAGTGAGTTATTGAAGGGGGGAGAGGGGTCAGATGGGAGTGCGGTGAGAGAGGGAGAGACAGGAAAAAGGTTAGTAATATGGGAAAAGAAAAATAAATAGGAAGGGAGGGCAGAGGAAGAAGAAAGGCAAGATCTTCATTAACTTTGTTACAAAATTTAATTTGTCTTTCAGCACATCCTCACTCTTTCACGCCCATAAATATCACTACAAACACCCTTAAGGATACCAGCACCATGCTTTTGATTGATGAAACCAGAGAAAGACAGAGAGATAAGGAGAAAAGAGAGACAGCAAAGCTGACAGGAAGGCAGTCAAAGAGATAATGAGCTGGAGAATATAGAGAAGAAAAGAGAGGAGCAGGGGCAGGTCAAAAAGTGTCAGCTAAATAAAGGAGGAGCATGGGCCATGCAAAAAGAAAGGGAGAGGGAGGGGAGGGCTAAGTGTCAGCTGGCCTTTAAACATGAAAGTATCCCTCAGTATGGCCCATCTGACAGAATATGGGGTGAGAAGAGAGGATAGGAAATAGAGAAGCTGACAGCATAAGGTTCAAATATCAGAAACAAAGTTAAGAGAGGATGAGAATCTGTGGCAAGGACTGGCAGATCACTGCCTCTGCCTTCGACAAAAGCGTCTACAAATTTGGGGGCCATCTAATCCCTGATTAATGATACTGGTGTACTATATTCCAACACCAATGACTACGCTGAAATAAACTGAAAGTATATACAATGTATGTACACTGTACTGTGTGTGTATATTCTGTACAATGCATTTACTTGTTACTGACATCAGTAAAAAAGAAAAAACATCACAAATGAAAAACAATGGACAAGGTCAATGTGTAACATAACCCAGAGTGCTCTATGTGGACATGGCCAGCTGCACAAGATAGAAGACACCACAGCAGAACCATAATCAATATATTGACCAATTATCCGCAGTAAATGGACAGTATAAAGCTTCGGGTGCTATTCTGAGAAAGTTTTGAAGCGAAAACTGAAGCAGCAACATTTGTTTCCAAATGTCATCTGACCTGACACCTGATAAATATGAAATGTAATTGCTTACTGTTTGTCTAGCCTTGACATTGCATCAGGAGAGAGAGGAAAGAGAGGGAGGGAGGAACGATGCCAAGGGAGGAGTCAGAGCATACTGAGCTCAGCGATTGCTGCTACATGTCACTTATCTGTGCCTGCATGTGTCTCACCCCTGCTAAAAGTTCCCTTTTGCGTTCTCTGCCTCTCATAAATATCATTAATCCCCTTGCTAGCTCAATCACCAAAGTCAGACATTAAACAAGAAACACAAAGGCAACACATACTGAGTATGTGTTGGTAATACATAAGGCACAGTTTGCATTAACAGGATTTAGTTTGATTTACATTAAAGTCTCCCCTTTTATGGTTACAAACCTGGATTCCAGTGAAGAAAAAATCTTAGTTTTAGGGTTGAATTGCACCTTAGATCGCACACACACACAATCACAGATGAACACTTCAGCTACTGTAGATGAGAAGTCCAGATATGTCCCCACATGACAAGCTATTGCAGCAGTTTCTCAAAAAAATGCCACCAACATTCTCGGCCCCTGTCATTCGATGTCTCTTTTCTAAACACAAACACACACATATGCAAGACAAATCTGTCTGTTCTTCCACTGATTTTACACTTGTGTGCAATGCAGAGATATGCAAATGACTTCTCAAGTGAACTGCTGGGGAGCCAAGTGAACGATCATATATGGATAGTTGAGTGTTTAAGGAGGTCAATCAGTGGGTAAGAAGAAAAAGGTGCATGTGTGGTTCTGCATGATTGCATGCAATAGCACACACAAGTATTTTGAACATGTACATCAATGCTTGTTCACTGTCTGAGTGCACATATGCTGTGCAAGCACATGTATGTGGATGTATACTGGCAGCTCTGTGCACAGCATACAGTATGTGTGCATTTTTATGACCATGTGTGCACTGTACATGTGAGTCAAGTACATATGCACATGCATTCTTTAAACCTATCCAAACTGTGTGTGTGTGTGTGTGTGTGTGTGTGTGTGTGCCAAGCAGAAAATACTTAGTGTATTAAGTCTATTGGCAGCTGTACAGAGACAGAATCAAGGAGCCAAATCTCATTATAGGACCTCCCAGCTGCCCCCACAAGGACTGATGCAGTGCATTCATTATCACACACACATGCCTGCACAAATGTGTATGAGAGATAGAGAGAGAGCGATTCCATGCATGCGTGGTCCTATGCACAGAACAATCCAATGAAAAATCGGATTTAATTAACTTTCTTTCTGATCTATTAGGCAGGTTGAAAGACAAGCATCTCCCGCACTGACAAGAGGAGAGTAACTGGAAAAGGGCAGAGTGAGACAGAAAGAGACACAGAGAGAGAGAATACTGCAGTGTCTAAACAGTGAAGAAGACTACAAGGGAACAAAGCTCGCTGAAACATTCATGAGCGCACAACAACCT